CTAAGGCAATGTCTGTCTGTCTGTCTGTCTCTCTCTCTCTCTCTCTCTCTCTCTCTCTCTCTCTCTCTCTCTCTCTCTCTCTGTCTCTCTCTCTCTTTCTTTTCCAAGTCAGATGGGTAATGCGCCCACATTGTAACAAGGTTTGAGGGAGACACATCTCATGCATCAGATTTTGTTTTAAAAACACTGCTCTTCTGTAGTGGGTTGGATTGTTCATGTGAAAGGCAAGTTCTTGCTTCAAATGTTGGCTTGGAACACATGCCTACATTACACATGGGACTGAAAATATCACATGCTTTCTAAGGGAAGTCAGTTATATATTTTCCCCTCACTTTTTTCTTTTAAAAATTTATTATTGGGCCCCAGAGAGATAGCTCAGTAGAATAAGTGTTTGCCTGGGAAGTGCTAGTCCTGAGTTCAATCCCTGGTACTGAAAAAAAATATATTATTAACATATTGCTATTGTTATAGTACACAGTAATTATATTCTTTTGGGAGATGGTACAGTGTGTAATGCAACTTAATTCTTTTTTTATTCTCTCTCTCTTCTTTCCTTTCCCCTCCTTTAGGTCTTGGCCCCCTTTCTCATTTGCAAATGATCTGCTTTATATTTCCAAAAGCCTATCTTTTACATTGCTTTATATTTATACATTTAATTTTTCATGAAAGAGAAAGTATGTTCTGTTTAAGTTTGTGTGTCTGCTTTATTTCATTTAACATTAGGGCTTCAAGGTGCATCCATTTTCCTAAAATAATTCAAATTTATCCTTCTTTATAGCAAGGCTGTACTCCACTGTGTATAAATACCACATTTTTTTATCCATTCATCTTTTCATAGACATATAGGTTGCTTCCAACATTTAATTATCACGAATTGTGCTTAAACAACCATGAGTATACATGTATCACTGTAATACAGTGTCTTTTAATCTTTCAGGAAGATACCTAGAAGGAGAATGGTGGGGTCAAATGAATTTTTAGTTTTCTTTTTTGAGGACTCGCTATGCTTTCAGCTACATCTTTTAAAATTACTTACAAATTAATGCTTCAATATGGAAGTCCACCTCTAGGAATCTATTTGAAAAACAGTAGTACATACTTTATTTATTGGCATTATCTCTATTTGCAAAATGTTGAAAGGAACTAAATACCTACACATAGGACACAGGTTGAATAAACCAACATACATCACACAGTGGTGGTAGGAATTCATGAAACCATGAAAATGGTCATAAGATCTCTCAGAACCTGAAAAGGTTTCCGTGAGACAAAGTTAAGTGAGAAGTGTAAAATGCAAAAGAATTGATATGGTATACTACTATGTGTATGGGAAAAACATATAAAATCAAATATATATATACCACAGAAAATAATCATAGAGACAGAAAACATAGCAACAAACAAACATGAGTACAGTACTTTCTATATTTTCAGTAAGAGACAGCTTAAGGGGAAAGAACTGAAAACGATTCTTTTTTAAAAAATTTTGTGGAGGGTCTCATTACACAGCTCAGACTCATAGTGATTCTCCCGTTTTCAGCCTCTCTACTGCTGGGATTACAGGTGTGCACCACCACACCCAGTCTCTATGGCCAGCTCAGCGTGCCCAGGGGCAGTGCTGGCACAGCATGTTGTGCCAGTGATCAAACTGCCGTCCTTGCGCTTGCCTAAGCAGGTGCTTGATCTGCTGAGCTACCGCACTGGCCCCCTGAAAAGAATTCTTGAACTTTACTCAGTAACTATTGATTGCTCTTAGTGACATTAGTGTGGTAACTCTACAACCTTGTCTCTATTTATAAGATAGAGCTAATGAAGGGACCAGGGAGATGGCTCAGTAGAATAAGTGCTTCCCTGGCAATGCAACGGCCTGAGTTCAATCCCCGATTCAAAAACAAAACAAAACAAAACAAAACAAAACAAAACAAAACAGTAGGAAGATAGAGCTAATGGATAAATACGTTGGTTTTATTTGGGGAACCAAGGCTTGCACGACTGGAAGAGGGAAACATGGGAAGCAATGTTGGGAAGAGAAGAAATAGAATAAGTGCCCAGTCCTGAAATCTTTCTTATTAATTATGTTTCTTACTAATTATGAAGGAAAAAAGGATACATTTATATGAATAAACTGTCAGATATGCCCTTAATTAAGAGATCAAAGTCAACATCACCAACATTGAGACAGACTGACATCATGTGCCTGGTGCTAGAAGGCACTGAGAAGAACATAATACCATTTTTGTGACATTTCTGCTAAATATGTGTAACCTGCATCTAGTACGGAAATATCAGTCATACTCAAATTGAAGAGCAATATTTCAAACACTTTTCTGCATTCTCTAGAAAATCAATGTCATGAAATACAAAGAGAAGCTGAGAAAAGAGATGGGATGATTAAATGCTACCCATGACCTTGTATGAGTTCTTAGACAAGGAGATAATGGGAGAATGTAAATGCTGATTGTACATTCATAAGAAAATTACTGTTAAAGTTCCTCAATTTCATAAATGGACTGCAATATGGTCCTGATCTTAAATAATGCACAAAAGAATATCTAGAGGTAAAGGGACATATCTATTTCTCACTCACAAGTGATCCTAAAATATTACTGCAATATGTATGTGTATATTCATATACATTGTATAGAGCATACATATGCACTCATGCATAGTGAGTGTATGTGTGCTAAAGAAAGTGTAGAACAGCTTAACAGTGGGTAAATCTGAAACTTTTAAAATGTAGGTTCTAGGTGTTTGAGGGACTCTGGTATGGAATCAGACTTGGCCTGGATCTCTAGTTTATTGAGGAAGGAGCTCACTCACCACTTCAAGGGACCATGGGGAAGTGACCAGGAGGAGGTGATCAGCTGAAGCCAAGAGGAGCCAGATGCCCTGGTTCACAGACACTATTTTAGAGCATTGGAAAAAGGGGCACAGGAAAAAGCATATTACAGCTTCCAGGAGCTGAAATTTCATACTCATTGGATGGGAAATCACTAAAAATCTTCCAGTTCAAGAAGCCAAGGAGTGGGGGCTGGGGAGATGGCTCTGTTGAATAAGCACTTCCCTGACAAGTATAAGGACCTGAGTTCAAACCCCGGCTCCGAAAAAAAAAAAAAAAGAAGAAGAAGAAGAAGAAGAAGAAGAAGAAGAAGAAGAAGAAGAAGAAGAAGAAGAAGAAGAAGCCAAGGAGGAATGGCCAAATAGCTCAGTGGATTAAGGCACCTGAAAGCAGTCTCAGGAGCTGGGGGTTCCATCTCAAGGCCTGCCATGCTGGCCCCACCCCCAGGGTGGGCGGGGCAATTGAGACTGAGCATGGTAGCATGTGCCTGTAACCCCAGCTTTGGAGGATGTAAACAGGCAGATCACTATGAGTCCGATCTAGTAGTGAGACCCTGAGCACCCTGCACACCCTTCCTAAAATACAAAAAAAAAAGAAGCCAAAGAAATGAAAATTCTCACACATTGTTGGGAATAGTCCATAGTCATTTTCAAGACTAATTTAATTAGATGTCCTTCTGCATCCAAGCAGGGGACAGAAACCACAGTATTATTTGATCAGAAAAGTTCAATATAGAGAATTTTTTTTTTAATTTTATGTATTTGGTACAGGGTCTTACTACACAGTTTGGACTCATAGTGATCCTCCTGTTTTCAGCCTCCCCAGTGCTGGGATTACAGGCATGTACCACCATTCCCAGACTCAGTCTTGGCTCAGTGTGCCTGGGGGTGAGGCTGGCTCGACATTCGGACTGGGGATCGAACCCTGGTCCCTGTGCTTGCAAATGCAGGTACTTAGTCTGCTGAGTTATCTCGCCATCCCTAAGAGGATTATTAATTTATCAAATAAGAGTAACAGTGAAGAGTGAATACTGGAATATCAAGAGCAAGGAGTGGCCACTGTCCTTGGCTGAGACAGATGTCCAGGGAAGAGATCCCATCCTGCATGGCTGAGACCCAGGCCCAGAGCTGACTGAGGGGCCGAGAACTCATTCTGATTCTGCACCAGCCAAACTGACTGGAGGTTTGTTTGCTGGAACTTTCCTGAAGCCCCCCAGCAAGTGGAAGCTGCTGAGGAAGCCACACCGTGGTTGAACGGCCAGAGGGGTGCCCCAAGACAGCTGATGGCCGCTGGATCCATATACCACAGAAGCCCAAGTCTGAGAAGCTGTGCACCCCATCCAGGGTGTGGTGCAAGGAAGCTGCCCAAGGTGGGAGCTTGCCAAGCTGGCATACCAGTGCCAAGGTGCAAAGCCCTTTCCTCCACCTCCCTCTGCTGCAACACTGTACCAGTAGCAGAAGAGAACTCTTTCCAGGGTCCAAATCCATTTCTATGGAGTCAGCAAGCAGAATTTGTAGTTAAGTAAGAATAAATTAACTGGCATAGAGAGTACATAGAAACAATGCAAGGGCTAGTGAGATAGCTCAGTGATCTAAAGAGCCTGCTTAGGCAAACTTAAGTAAGTGCAGGGACTGTGGTTCAATCCACAGCACCACATACCATGCCAGCCCCACCTCCAGGGTGGGCTTAGCCAGCTACAAAAATTTTTTTAAAAAAAAGAAGAAAAGATTTCACTAAACAAAGTAATAGGAATTCAACAATGGTTGCTGCTTTAAATAATTCTGTCTTCAAACTAGTTGTTCAGATTACCAGATAGAAATGTGTAAGATTTGTTTAAAGAAAAAAGCAAAACAAAACAATAACAAAGAAGTTATAAGAAATTCAAAAGAGGAAAAAAATCAGAGTTAAAAAAAAATTAAGCATTTAACTGCTCTTTTCAAAAGACCAGCAGAAGTCAACAATATAATTATCAAAACTATTCTGCATGTATACCTAAATATATCCTTTTCCCTTTTTTCATTTGTCTTTTTCTTCATCCCAGTTTTTCCTTCCCATTGAACAATTTCTTTCCCTTTCACCGTATCTGTTGCATGTTTTAGATTTTAATTACTCTTTCAGATTTTGTATGATGAATGTGATCATTTTGTGTATCTAAAATGTACCAATAAATTAAAAACTAGCTGTTGATATCAATGCTTTTCCATATAATATCTCACAAATAAAATGTAATGCAACTTCATCCACTTGAGGTTATCCATATTTCTTAGGATCCCTAAGGCAAGAAATATGAATTTGTGGCTATTCTGCAATTGATGGTGCTCACTTTTCTAATGTCAAATTGATGTCCCATTGCTCTAGTTCTGAGCCTGGC